TGTGCTCGCCTCTCTCGCTTTATACACAGAAGTGTATAAATTGCGTTTCTGTTTGTATAAAGCGAGAGAAAATTGTATATACACATGCAAATACATATATATTCGTCCTATACACTTATAATTATACAATAAAAATATTCCCCTGCCCAGTTTTATGCTTGTATAATGTATAGTTTATGTTTGTCAATGATTTATACAAATGAGAGGCTAACAACAATTTATACAAATGGCCTGCCAGCGAAATTATACAATTCTGAAGAGGAGCCAACGAATTATACAATTGCTTCTTTTTGTATATATGTATAGCGAATTATACATATATATGTTTGCTATAGAGCGCAATTATGCAAACTTTGCTATAACATACAAATATGATTTTTTTGTTTGCTATGTGAAAGTTTCTCTATTAAATATGTACTATATAATTAAGAATAATTAGTAAAAACAATTTTTTAATATTTTAGGAGCTAAACTTTTTAATTTTTTGTGTAACATGTTACCTATAAGATAGTAACAAAATAATTGCCAACAATAAATGGAACTATTTTACTAGAAAATAAAAATAGGAAACGTATTATATATAACAAATTAAATTATATCAACAGATCAGTAAAATTCTTTTGTATTGTCTATATAATATATAAAAGTTGAATTCTATAAAATTAATTTGAGTTGAAATAGAAAAACTGTTTTGGGTTTAATTTTTTTACTAGTTGTACTATTTCTCTTCGATCTATAAATAGATCGACATGTTGGGAAACACTTAAACCATCCTAAGCTATAAGATAATAGCTACATTTCTTAGATAGATAGAAACCTCCTTTAGCTTCCTATTCTCATGAGCAAATCTCCAATCATAATTTAAAAATGAAACTCGGTGTATGATCGATCAGTGATGAATTTAGAATTTAGATATCACGGGTTTAGAAATACATATCTAACTCTATTATTTATCTATCTATACAGGTTTGACCTCAAGGCATGCACTGAGTTCTTCCAACTCAAGAACCCATCAATAGGTTTGGTGCTGTGTATTCTATGTTGCACTTTTGTCCCGAATCACCTTATAACTGTAAGTATAAACTATTTCAAAGAGAGGAGGCAAGTATTGGGCGAGCTGTTGTTGACAGAAGATAGAGAGCACGAATAATGGAAGCTGCATGCACCTTAATTCTTTGTGCTCTCTATTCTTCTGTCATCATCCTCAGCCCCTCCCAGATCCTCTCTAGTCTCTACCTTTAATTTATTACTACGTTTATTGTATTTAATTTTCCCCCCATATGTCTTCCTTTATCTTCAAAATCGAAAAATAAAGTTATATTATTTTGTTTAGCGTAACTTAATTCTGACCATGAAATTCAACCTGCTGCTTCCGAGCAAGAAAGGGTTTTAAATTAACTTAATTGTTACTTAATTAAGTCATATGTATTTGAGCTGATAGAGATAGACATCCTTAATTAGGGCGTGTGTGTCTAGTTACGTTAGATTATCAATTACAAACTTCTAGAAAAGTTTTATACTCCCTATTTATTGATACAATCCACATCGATGTAATGAAAGTGAAGAGCCCATGATAATTAATGATAGAAAATTATGAATAGTCCATTCATTTGACAAGTATGTGTAGTCTCACAAAATCTTCCATCTTTGCCTTCAGTGACAGCAAAAAAATGATTTGTAAACTTTATTGTGATCATCCATCATTGGTTGTCCCCGAATTCCATCATCAAGAAGTGTATTCATAGTTTCTTATACTAATTTCTCCTAACGTAAATTTACTTGATGATAGGGGGTTGTTGAGTCCCACATCGGCTTCACTTAAGAATGATAGGTCTATTCATATGGTTGCAGACAATCTACGATCCTTTCATAAATTAGCTTTCTGGGATTGAGTTAAGCCGAAAGTCCATTAACTGTCAACTCTACCCGTTTACTTGGCATACTTGCTCTTTTGTAGAGTTAACAACACATTTGTCCTTGATGATCATAATATTTACGTTACCTCCGTTTTATCATTTTTTTTTGTTGATTAGTTACTCGTAACAATTTGATTTTCAAATATTCTACTATCTTAGTTTATAAACTTGTGAATATATATAAATGACCTACTTTGGAAAACGCTTTGTTTGAAAATCATATTACTTTACGTTGATTTGAAACTTAGCTTATACATTTCTTACGTTGACTTGTAAGCTTTATTCTTAGGTTGACTTGTAATATGAACTATATTAAAGTCTCCTTACAGAAATAATAAGCATAAAAAAAGGGTTAAACTTAGAGGAAAAAAAGGATTCAAACGATTAAAAATGGAAACGAAACGCCAACTTGCTCTTAAGCTTATTAACGAGGAGGACAAATACTAGATCGTAAATATAGTTATGCTTGAACATATCTGTAGAAAGGTGAATCAATATGTAGGTTTTCTAACAAATGAAGACCACACTCACAAGTCACAGACATGAAGACTATTTTTTAATTAAGGAAGCCACATTGAACTAAATAGAATTTCTTTTGATGAAAATTTTAGACATGAAGTCTGAGAATTTTTTAAAATTTTTTTATTCTAATCTTTTCTAATATCTCCCAAAAAAATTTAATTAATTAGAATAAATACATCTTCAAGTGCTAGAGAGTAGAGCCTATGTAAGTACTATTACGGGCTCTCATGAAAGCTGGCCCATTTTAGTACTGCACCGGGCCTCAGCAAAGGCCCAATCATGTATTCAAATTTCAAAGCACCCACTGAAATTTTCACTAATTTTCTAATTAATAACTTATTTTATTTCTCTTGTAGTTGATGTAACTTTAAACCACAACCTAATTCATATTTGTATGCTATAACAAAGTTTGCATAATTGCGCTCCATAGCAAACATATATATGTATAATTTGCTATACATATACAAAAAAAAACAGTTATATAATTCGTTATACATATACAAAGAAGACAGTTGTATAATTCGCTATACATATACAAAAGAAAGTAGTTGTATACAAAAGATCAATTGTATAATCTGTGTATGTATAAAACGAGAAAGAGAGAAAGGCAAAAGAAAACAGGGCAGGGAAATATTTGTATTGTATAATTATAAGTGTATAGGATGAAGATATATGTATTTGCATGATAATATACAATTTTCTCTCGCTTTATACAAACAGAAGTACAATTTATACATTTCGTTTCTGTTTGTATAAGCTAGAGAGGCGAGGCTGGCGAGCGAGATCTGGGAGAGGGGAGAGAGGGGAATGAAAATATATGTATATATATAATTTACTCTCGCTTTATACAAACACAAACACATTTTATACATTTGTGTTTGTATAAAAGCAAGAGAGGCGAACGAGACTGCCACCAAACGAGAGTGGCGAGCGAGATTCCACTAGGGAGAGTGGCGAAAAATAGCAATAGTTTGCTATAGGGTACAATTAAATCAAAATATATTTATAGCATTTAATTTGAATTAATAGTTTGCTATTATATACAATTTTCCTTTTTTTTTTAGGAAGTTGAAAAAGTGATAAAAAAAAAAGTTAGATCACGATCTAAGAATTTGAAAATGATCACAAATCTCATATCACAGTATAATATTTAATGAGCAAACTGAAAATTAAATTAGCAAGTATTAAATCCGAGTTAAAAGTTAACCAAAAATGCTAATTTTTCAAAAATTATATTTGTAATTAATGTTTTTAAAATTGGAATAAAATAAAGACATTTGAGTAAATCCACCGTACTTGCTTTGGGCAAAAAAAAAAAGAAGGGAAAATGTAAACACACAAAAAAGAGTCACGATGACACAACATTTTCAAAAGTGAGAAATTTATGTCTAACAAAAAACCTTTCACATTAGGAATGAGAAAGCAAATGCGTGTATTCACATAAAATAAGAACTTGATGGCGTAAGTCCTCATCCAGAAAGATCATCCACCGCTTTAATTTATTTGTTGTTGTTTTTGATTTGACATAAATTTTAATTATCTTTTTTAAAAAGAAGTTTATGATCTAAAATAATTTATAGATGTTTGTTTAACTATATACGAACGCTATTTTTTCGAAGACTAATTAATTTTTTTAAAAATATGTCAGGTAAATTGGGACGAATACTTATACTTGTACTCCACCATCTTTATCACAAACCTTATGTGTTGGAGTGCTGGACTTTTTTGTAAACACGTTTCAGCTCTCTCAACTACCTAAGTTTTCACTTACCCTTTTTGAAACTACTAGTCCATGATGACACCACCACAAAAATCTCTTTTGTTTCATTCCTATTTAAAGGACTTGCTTTATTTCATTGCATAATAATAATAACACACACACACACACACACAAAAATCACTATATACTCCTCTCCTATTATGGCATACCATAGAAGACATTCACCACCTAGACCACCAGGTCCACCACCCCACCCCACCCATAATTTGGTACCACCACCACCTCCAGGTCAATATACCGCACCACCACCTTTTCCTCCTCCAGTAGTTGTACTTGTCAATGAATATGCTCCTCGGCCTCCGTCCCCTGCACCACCTCTAGGGCCACCACCTCGTCCTTCTCTTCCACCGTATAATTATGATCCTCATTATCGTCCATCTCCACCGTTGAGCCGTTTACCTCCACCTTACTAATCAACACTCAATTAATACTAGTATTGCATTTGGAACTGGAGGAGGGTGCTTATTGTCTGAGCAACTACTTGTCTAGTCATATGTGTAACTTAATATAGCTTGTTGTCTACTAGTTTTCTATTGGTAATTATAAAAAGATCGATTGTTTTCCTTCTCCTGTATTTTGAATTACCTTTGGCTGCTTTTAACACCAAAGAGAGCTAAGCCTACTTAAGTCATTTTGTTAGTGGAATAATATAATAATTTCGAGATATTTCATGTGATTATTTTATCGAATACCACCATTAATCAAACGACCCTTGAGAGTTAAAAAGACATTCTAACTAGTTAAAGAAATGCACATTAGTTAGCTCATATGAGATGATCAAGATCATATAAAAAGACTTTCTCAAATATATATTTTTTGTGAATCCCAATGGACCTCTTCATCAACCCTCGTTATATAATTTGTCTTCTTGGTGTTTTCAGTTGGCCAGTAAGCGCGCACACTCTTTTGAATGATATATTCTTTCCCTAGCAATTGATGCCTGTAATGCAAACAAGAAATTAAAGTTATTTACCACCAAAGTGATGCTATATATCTTGAAAAAAACAATTAGTAGTAATTAGTTGTGTTGAGTGATAACCTGCTTTTGCCAATCCGTGAGACATGTTATAAGGGAAAACAGAAGAGATTGTACTAATGAGCCTGCATTTAGTCCAATCCAGAGCCCCTTCCCTTTTAAATGGAGAAAGAAACCCAACAATATGGCTACTGGGATTCCAACCAGATAGTATGAGCCAAGATTGACATAGGCTCCCAAATGCTGCCATCCGCTTCCTCTTGCAACGCCTATAGTATAGGACATGAGCAACTATAAGGAAGGGTTTGTGCAAGTAAAATACAATAACTATCATGAAAAGTTGAGATAGAGAAAGATTATGATGTAAATCGCTCTGAACATCAAGTACTTAGGCCGCGAACATTGTAAAGGGCTGAAACTCTTAATGAAATTGCACATTGTGCACTAAATTTATAAGGTAAAGAATAACTAACAAGAATTGGAGCTTACCAGAAAGTACAGCCTGAATGCAGTCTGTTGCAATCAAGAGACAAAGAAGTGGAGTCATGTCTCTGAGATAATACACTACTTCCTTCTCATTACTGAATGCATATCCCAGAACGTGACAGGAGCAAAGAAGAATGATACTTGCTACTATGGCCTCTGCCATTCCGAGTACAGTTACTGACAAGACAGACATTCTAGCTGCTTCAGGATTCCCAGCACCTAGTTCATTAGAAATTCTAGTGCTACAAAGGAAAAAAATGTTCTTTTTAGGCCATAATTGAGCACAGAGGTAGGTAACATATGCATGAAGATACAGAAGTTAGCAGAGAGCATTTGAGCAAACCTTGCACCAGCACCAATGGAAAATGGTATGAAATAATGAAGTGAAGAAACTAAGAGGCTGTCAGGAAAAACCAGCACATATCAGTAGTGATATATTCGTAAATAGAATGCTGACAATTCTAAGACTATAGTATAATTTTACCATATTGAAAGCACTGAAGTTTCAAGTTGAGGTTTTGGCAAGAGACCAGCAAGCAGTATCACTATCTCGGATGTCCACCATTCAAGACTGTGATCATCACGATGTTCTTTTGATTAGAATAGAGAATAAAGGTATAAAACCACACGCATTGTTTTGTTGATTTAAGGAGGAGGAGAACATTTACCAAACCATGCTAGCGGAAGGGATAGCCAAATGAAAGAATTCCTTTGTGCTAGGCAAAACTTCTTTCGTGAAACAAAGACGAGTTTTTTCACAAGAGGAAGAGTATTTGACATATAAACAAAGCAAGAGCACATTGAACGAATAAGATAATCCAATTGCAATTGCAGCTCCACCGCTTCCCAAGTTTAGCTTGAATACAAGCGCCCAACAGAGAGGCACGTGAAAGCAAAGAGCTGCAATTGAGCTCATAAGCATTGGAAGAATCAAGCTTTGAGTCTGCAAGTACCGGATCAATGCTTGTAGAATAGCATAAGGAAATAAAGCAGCAATGAGCCAACTTGAATATTTGCCTGCTTCTATGGAAATAAGAGGGTCTTGACCTATGAGTATAAGAAATTTGTCCACAAAAAGCCACAGAACAGATATCGGTATGCAAACCAGAAGGAGAGATATAATTGCCCCATTCGTGTAGATTCCTAGCTTCCGGTACTCTTCAGCTCCATAAGCTTGTCCACAGAGAGTCTCTAAAGCACTAGACATTCCAAACTGCATTCCAGAATCCAAACCTTATAAACAGTTACGAAAGATGAGATAGCAAACATTTAGCTACCTTGATCTGTTCTTATCTTTGGCGAGTTTAATCAATCTCACATGCTATTCTATCAAGAGCTATAAATTATTTATGGCTAAAATTTCAGGCAGTATTCTAACTAACCTTTTCCTGCCCCTGTCCTGGCCTAAAAGCAAGCAACACACTGTAACATCACAATTTTATAGCTACCTCACTTGGATTGAGCTAAAGAAAACTCAAAATGCTATTTGATCTCATGGAAATAGTTTCATATTTGAAACAAACTCAAACTCCGTTCCATAATCAATTACTGAGGCACATATATTAATCAGTTAACCTGCAAACTTTAGTACTAAATCAGACTTGACAATTCATCAACCACCTAACATACTTACATTTGAGTAGCGAAACTTAACATTTGAGTTATAAAAAGCAAATGAAATTGAAAAGCAGAGGAAGGGAGGAAAGGAAGTTTACAAGTAGACTGAAGCCAGTAACATTGGTAAGAGAGGTAGCAATAGCAGCCCCAGAAAGGGAAAGTTCACTGAGATGACCAATCATCATCATAGACACAACCCTCAAAAGGTGCTGTGATACAGTAACCACCACCATTGGTATTGCTATATTGCTCACCTTCTTCAACTCTTCCACAAACACATCCCATCTTCGTCCCCTCAAACTTCCCCCTAACAATGCTTCTTCCATTTATTTACGAGCTTAACTAAATCTGATTTGTATAATCATTCAAGAGTGGATTTACTATATTATCATCGTCTTCTTTCTTTTGCCTCAGGAGAGAGTGGGGAGCTCTCTTTATTAGTATTAGTATAATATATCTCTCCTGCAAATCTGATTAGGCGCACACAAAATCTGGATTATATTAATCAATGTATCAAACAAATATTATTCCTTGGTTTTTTCATTTTATAATACACTATCTTTTTAGTCACACATAGGGATAGAAGAATGTAACTAATTTATACGGGTATTCACTCATATTTACCCATTTAAAAGTGGATAGTTAAATAAATAAAATGGATAAAAGATGTTTATTCATAAAAGAAATAAAAGTGGTAAGGAGTGGGCTGGTATAAAAAGCATTTTCATTTTTTTTTCTTTAAAAAACAAATTTAATGTAGGGGCTGGGTTGGTAATTTTTTTTTTATAGAAAAAAATTATTATTTTTTAAACTTTTTTTTGGGATGGGGTGTGGGGGCTGGTAGTGGGTGTGGGGGCTAGTAGAGGGGTGCGGTGGTAAAAAAGACTCTTTAATTTTTTTTACATTTTTTGGGGATTAGGG